ATCTGTATGGTTGGGTTTACCTGGAAAAATAACAAAAAAGACACGACTAGTATTAGTTTTAAAATTAAGGATATTGCCCATGCATGCTTTAAATAAAACAAAACATTTTGACATTAACAAGCACATGATCATACATTTTGTAACTACAAATTATAGTCCGATTATAACAATCCTAAGCTATTTTAATTTAACATGATGTAGGCCTACAGGTCATTACTGCTACATATTTGAGGTAGAGTGAATTACAAGTTTGTTGTTTCTAAAATTATTACAAGAATGTGTCTATTTATTTTTTATAATAAATGTAAAGTAAGGACCTGTTCCTACCATTCAGAAAATGCTCCCCGCATACTCTAGCTGCATTGGATGCCGTCCATTTCGTACCATCTCGGTTCAATTTCTTCAGTGCATTAACCCAGGAATTTTTCCGATCAGCATCTTTTGGAAACCGGTGAAATGAAGGTTTATTTTTTTTCATAAGTGTATGATTAGTACATCCTACAGCTTCACAATTTCCCGGCATGTTTAACACGTAAAAAATAACCAAAAACAGCAAAGGAATGTGATCTAAATGTGCCGATCGTAACATGCAATGCAATGTAAACACACGCAGTCGCCACACTCCAGCGTGTTTGTTTTCACTCCACCGGCGTTGTCAAGCAGTTTCGTGACCTCGGGTCACGGAAAATCCCGGATGTGCGACCACGAGAATAGCTCCAAGAAACGGTAAATTACTACTACTAGGGTTAGAATCCTACACAATGTATAGACAATCCGTCGCACAGCCTGGTCGGGCTAGCTACAGTAGTACTGAGAGGGGGATAAGGGGGGTACTGTTCACAGTTCACAGTGAAAATAAATATAAGCTATGTGTCGGTGTGCAGCAGCTAGCGTGCCGCAGCCAGCGTGTGTTGCAGATGAGCATTTGGACGGCATTTACAGAAAATTGTCGGCAATAATAGGTGAAAGAGAGTAGGCCTAGAGAAACATTAAAGAGGCTAGATATAGTTGAACACTGTGGCTATATATGCTCGGCTGCCGGGCACGGTCTTCGATTTCCTAAATGTAGGGACAGTGATTTTCCGCGATCGCGGAAAACGGACGGAAAACACAGAAACGGCCATTGGAAACGGAAAAGATGTTTTCAAACGGAAAAATGCGGAAAACGTAATTTGAACATATTACAACATGGAAATTTCAATAAAATCATAAAAAACGTCGACAATAGCATTGGTAGGGATATGGTTTACATTCAGACAAGTTTCAGAGCAAAATGACTTATAATTACGTCTTTTGGTAGCCCTGTGTTTCGGTGCCAACTCAACTGTCAGTCAGTGACCAAATACCTTTTTTCCATGCAAATATATGTAAATGGAATTTTGCATTTTTGGTGTGTACAATCTCTATGGCAAAACGGAATTTCCATTTTTTCTTTACTTTGAAACGGAATTCATGATTTTCCCAAACGGAAAAGGCAATTTTTTGAAACGAAAAATCACTGTCCCTATAAATGCCCGGCAGTTCCTAACCCTAACCCTAACCCTAGCCCTTGTTTACTTGAGATAACGTTGAAAATTAAAAACTGCCGAGCATTTAGGAAATCGAAGATTGTGCCCGGCAGCCGTCAGATATATGCCGGCTGCCGGGCATATAGCCACTGATAGTTGAACGGCTACTGATTTAACACGTGGTGCCACAAAAGCCTATATGCCCTGTGGTAGCGTGCCATGGGATGAGGTTAACTCGACCGACTCGACCAATCACGCCTCGGCGTGTGATGGCCGTGGCTATTGTTTATAGGGGGAAGCACTAGCTCTCCAGTGTTGACGTGGCGTTCCCTGCTGTCGGCTTGTTTTACATTATTGGTTATTACCAGCTATTACAATCTATTACATTGGCGACGAGGATAAAACTAGCTATGGCCACTATAGGACTGATGGAGGCATTTAACACGGCGAATGGTGAGGACTGGAACCATTACATTGAAAGACTGGAAAATTTCTTCATTGCGAATGATATTTCTGGGTTAAAAAAACGGGCTGTACTATTGACCGTCATGGGGCCAGAGGCATACAGGCTGCTGCGGAATTTGTGCTCGCCGGATAACCCAGCCACCAAGCTCTATGAGGAGTTAATTGCCGTGATGAAGGAACACCTTTCGCCAAAGGCAAAGCCTGCCGAGATAGTGGAACGGTTTAAATTTCACACCAGGGTACAAGGAGCATCTGAATCGATTTCGGGGTTCATGGCAGAGCTGAGGAGACTGTCCAAAGACTGTAACTTTGACGATACCCTGGACAAGATGCTGCGGGATAGGTTAGTGATCGGGGTAAAGAGTGAGGGTATCCAGCGTCGGTTGTTATCTGAGAAGCAACTTGATTTAAAGCGAGCCCTAGAAATTGCGACAGCGATGGAGCTGGCGAGCAAGAATGCCCAAGATATTCAGAAGTCTGCTCACCCCACTGCTGTCAACAAAATTTGGACTCGTCCAAACCCTGGCCAGCGCAGTAGTGCTAACTTGACTAGGCAACAGAGTAGTACTGGGCAACGCAGCAGTACCGGGATGCGCCCCGGCCTGCGTAAACTTGCTCAGGCAACAGAAGGGAAAACGCCATTCCGCTCGAAATGCTACCGCTGCGGGGGTACGCATCAACCGAATAGCTGCCGTTTCAAGAGTGAAACCTGTTTTAGCTGCGGCAAGACAGGACACATCTCGCAGGTGTGTCGCTCCAAGGGGGGAAATCAGATGAACATGGTTGAGACGACGCCATCATCTGCTGCTTCGGAGGAGCTTTACTCAGTCTATACAGTGAGCAGCACTCGTTCAGAGCCTCCGATCATCGTTCAAGTCAAGGTGAATGGCCAAATGTTACCGATGGAAGTTGATACAGGTGCCTCATTATCGCTCATAGGGGAAAACACATATCGGAATATATTTGGCCGGAACAAGGCTAGACTGCAGCCGAGCACGAAGTTATACTGGTGAGCCAGTACGAACCTGCGGGGAGTTCCAAGCTTCTGTCGAGCACAACAACCAGCGAGCAACCTTGCCGTTGTTGGTGGTCCCTGGAGGGGGCGCTACTCTCATGGGGAGAAACTGGCTATACACTCTACAACTGGATTGGCAGACAATCCACCTGCTGAGTGAGAAGCAGCCGAACCGAGCTGACTCGAGCCCGAGCTCTTGGTACCCCGAGCTGTTTTGTTTGGCACGATGAAGAATGTGATCGCTTCAATTCATGTGAAGTCAGAGGCAACTCCAGTCTTCTGTAAGGCTAGGACTGTGCCATATCTGATGAAGCCCAAGATTGATCAGGAACTAGACCGCCTAATCGAGGCAAATATCATTCAGCCGGTGGTTTCTGCTGAGTGGGCAGCACCCATTGTGCCTATATTGAAACCGGATAACACGGTACGCATATGTGGTGACTATAAGGTCACGGTGAACCGGTTTGCGGATGTAGATCGCTACCCACTTCCGACACCTGAAGATCTCTGCTACGCTGTCGGGAGGTGTGCTGTTCACCAAGCTGGACATGGCACATGCTTACCAACAAATTGAGCTTGATGAGAGGAGTAAGCAGTATACTACCATAAACACTCACAGAGGCTTATTTGTCTACAGTCGACTCGCATTTGGAATCTCATCAGCCCCAGCTATTTTCCAGCGGGTGATTGAGAATCTGCTGGCAGGAATCCCTCGCACTGCGGTATACCTTGATGACATTCTCGTGTCTGGCGCTTCTAAGGAAAAACACCAGGCCAATCTGGAGGAAGTTCTTCAACGGCTCGCTGAGACTGGCCTGCGGTTAAGGAAGAACAAGTGCTGTTTCGGCATGACATCCGTGCAGTACCTTGGTCATCAAATCAGCAAGGATGGTCTGGCTACACTGGACAACAGGGTCATCGCAATTGTGGCCGCACCAAAGCCCAAAGATGTGAAACAGGTCCGGGCTTTCCTGGGTATGCTGACCTTCTACTTGCGGTTCGCACTTGGCGAGCACTCTTGAACCACTGCATCGGTTCTTAAAAAAGTACATGTGCTCAGTTGGGGCACCGATCAAGACTGAGCTTTCAATGCTGCCAAGGAGCTCCTGCGGAAGCTCCTGTCTTGACGCATTATGTCAGTAAACCCCTGTTGCTGACTTGTGACGCTTCAGCCTATGGAGTAGGTGCGGTCCTGGCTCACGTGATTGCGGGTGATGAGCATCCTGTCTGCTATCACTCCAGGACTTTGCAACCAGCTGAAAAGAACTATGCTCAGGTGGAGAAAGAAGCATTGGCCATGATGGTGGGCGTCAAGAAATTCCACAAGTACCTGTGGGGGGAGACATTTCAAAATCGTCACTGATCATAAGCCTTTACTAGGTCTACTGGGGGAGCTGAAGGCAATTCCACAACTGGCATCGGCTTGATTGCAGAGATGGGCACTCATCCTACAAGGCTACGACTACGAGCTCGTCTACAGACCTGGCCCATCCATAGCGAATGCAGATGCGCTAAGTAGGCTTCCACTACCTCAGACTATAGAGATACCGGTACCACCATCGGTAGTCAACCTGATGCAGCACTTAGAAGGATGTCCTGTGACATGCACGATGATTCAGCAGGACACTAAATTGGATTCAGTCATGGCACGTGTCGTTCAATATGTGCTGCAGGGCTGGCCTGATAACAATCCGTCAGTGGAACTGATGCCTTACTTCCGTCGGAGAACGGAATTGTCATGCGAGGACGGGTGTGTGTTGTGGGGTACACGTGTAGTTGTGCCTGACGTTCATCGTGCGGCACTGATTGAAGAGCTTCATGAGGCCCATCCGGGCGCATCACGCATGAAAAGCCTGGCTCGTGTGTGGTGGCCTTCTATGGATAGTGATCTGGAAGATTGAGTGAAAAGCTGCATATCATGTCAGGTGAATCGATATAGGCCAGCAAAAGCACCACTACATCCATGGGAGTATGCTGCGAATCCGTGGAGCCGCATACATGTGGACTTTGCCGGTCCTTTCTTAGGACACATGTTTCTCGTCATCGCTGACTCGCATACTAAGTGGCTGGAAGTCTTCATGATGCAGAAAATAACCAGTCAGAAAACAGTGGAGAAGCTGCGATTCTGCTTCGCCACGCATAAGTTCATCTCAGCTAATGGCATCTGTCATACATTCACTGCACCCTACCACCCATCGTCGAATGGCCTCACGGAGAGAGCTGTTCAGTCCTTCAAGGAAAAAATGAAGCACATGCAGACTGATTCGCTTCAGACTCGACTCACACGTTGGCTCGCGAACTTGTCTCACACCGCATTCAACCACTGGTCGCTCTCCAGCAGAGCTGCTGCTTCGACGTCGACCCAAGTCTAGGCTAGACTTGGTCCACCCAAGGACAAGCACTAGGGTGGAGGAAAAGCAGGAAACACAGAAGCAGCAACACAACCAACACGCACAAGATCGCTCATTCAACCCTGGTGACAGCGTCTTGGTGCGCAACTTTGCGAATGGACCAACATGGTTACCGGGTAATCTGCTGCGGCGTATCGGTCCATTATCATTCACGGCCCAGCTCCAGGATGGTCGTATCGTGCGTCGTCATCAGGACCACCTTCTACCATGCACCGGCAACCTGGATGCACCCGCACTGCCTGAACAGGTTGAGGACCCAGCTAGGCCGGAATTCCCTGTGCTGCCCGAGGTTACGAGCCGTGAGGTTCCGCATGAGGATCCACCACTGCCGGCCCTGCGTGCAGCTGAGGCTCAGGCCGCTGCCCCTGAGGCTGCACCTGGTGGGCCTGTGGCTGGGCAGCCGGCGTCTCCACATCGAGCTGCTCCACCGGTGCGTCGCTCAGCTCGGCTCACCCGTGGAGTGCCGCCTCTGAGGAGTGGTTCCGGTCATGGGATGGAGGGATGTGGTAGCGTGCCATGGGATGAGGTTAACTCGACCGACTCAACCAATAACGCCTCGGCGTGTGATGACCGTGGCTATTGTTTATAGGGGAAGCACTAGCTCTCCAGTGTTGACGTGGCTTTCCCTGCTGTCGGCCTGTTTTACATTATCGGTTATTACCAGCTATTACAAGCTATTACATGGCCACTGTCGTAACTTCAAAGTATGACGACAGGCTGCCGGTTATGTTTAGCATGTGCGCGCTGTAGCGTGAACGAGCTATGAGCTGTAAAAAGTTAAAAACCGTGCTACTGCTGTCCGTACGTAGCAGTTTCCAGGTGTTCTCATAGGTATGGGCTGATCGCGAACGTGGTGGTGGTAGCGTACGCGGCGTCGAGAGACAGCGAAGAAGTGAGATAAAGAGAGAGACAGCGAGGGAGAGCAATAACGTGAGAGAAAGAGAGAGAGAGAGCGCGAAAGAGTGAGAGAGAAAGAGAGAGAGAGAGAGAAAGAGAGAGAGAGAGAGAGAGAGAGAGGGAAAGACAAAGACAAAGAAAGAGAGAGGCAACGAGTGAGTGTGAGCGAGCGAGAGGGAGAGAGAGAGCAAGAGAGAGAGAAAGACAAAGAGAGAGAGACACCAAGGGAGAGTGAGCGAGCGAGAGAGAGGGGGAGAAAGAGCGTGTGAAGGGAAGAGAGAGCAAGATCGAGAGAGAGAGAGAGAGCGAGGGGAAGAGAGAGCGATTTTGTTGTCTATGCCTACCAATGGCTACATGCGCACGTTGACCTATGAGTATTTGGCAGATATAGCATATTATGTTCTGTTGTGATGTGGCGATACATAGCCGTAGTAAAGATAAAGGAGCCAAAATAAAAATATAGGGACAAGGGAAAATAGAGACGGGGGAACATAGAGTGGACCCCTCCCAGGCGCCTGTCACCCCTAGCAGTCATAATCGACTCAGAGCCGGCAAGTTGGACGTTTTTTTGCCAAGTGGTCAATCAGAGAACAGCAATCAGGGGTGTGTCCCTCCACCCTAGGGGGAGAGCACGTTTTTGCTTTAGGCGCCACGCTGACGGCATGTGATACGTACAAAAATGCGTATCCGCGTCGCCCCGCGAGTACGCTACGGGTCAAATGTTGAAACGTTTGCCGCCTCGCGGTCGATAACGTAAGAGCTTTGAACATACATAGAGAGGTTGGTAGAAAGAAGAAAAACGCCAACTTGACTGCATAAAATCAAGAGCGTATAAATAACCCCTTCTTTATACGCTCTTGATAAAATCGTCAGTGTAAACCCAGCTTGCTCCGCATGCACGCGACATTACTTCGCGCTACAGTCATGAAACAATTCCCGGGGGTGGGGGGCCCGCTCATCAATCGACACTGCCGCTCTCCACAGCGCAGGTACGTCGTACGTGCTAGCAGCAAGTGCGACACACGCTGTCTATCTGCAACACCCGCTGTTGATTTCACATCTCCCTCTTCGTCTGTTGTACCGCCTACACTATATTCAGATTCTAAACCGTTCACTCGGTGTGCACATAATTATCAGGGCCGCGAGTGCCTCTGACGTAATTTTGTAGGCTCCTACCGAAGTGCATGTCGAGATACTGAGCTCTTCATTTATCCACAATACACTGCATTGGGTCTAAAGTCTGAACGCATACACAGTCTCTTTAAGACTTTGGTAGTAAATAGATTTCGTATTTATTTAGCATTATATTTTATTGAAAAGCTCCAAGTGACTGTGTGTTAGAGCAGCTGTTCCCAAACTTTTTCGGGCTGCCGCCCCCTTGGCTCACAGGCCACATCCCTAGTGCCCCCCCCCCCCACACACACATACGCAGGGATGAGATTGAAGAATGTAATTTTCAGCTGAAAATGAAATTAGAAATCCAAGGAGCGAGCAATGCGAGCACCGAAGGTGATCGCCATGCTACTGCTAGGGTGGTTCGGGGGCATGCTGCCCCGGAAAATTTAAAAATAGGTGCATTTTGGTGCATTCTAAGCTATTCTGAACACATTATATGAGACTCTTGAATCACTTTTTTAAGTTGTCAAAAGGAACAAACGAACTATGAATCGGAAATCAAGGGGCTGAAAATAGGGCAAGTCCGAGGTTTGGGACCTGCCGATTTGATGCTCGGACCTTCATAATTTCCAAGCAGAAAGTCTGTCAGACCTATCAATAATTTACAGTACTCCACTTTCATTAAATAAAAAATCATTAAACCATTGAAAATTGCGAAGAAATAAAGCGAAAGTAGATCGATTTTTTCGGTCACCATCGACATCTTGTATCATATTTATTATTCACAATGTAACATACCAAGTATAAGAGTCAAATTTACCGAAAATCTTACAAATCTAGAGCCTTGGCCCTTGCAGACGTGAAAATGCGATGCATGATCACCAGTTCCCACGGCGTCTGCTGTCATCTATATATTGTTCTCAGGTTGTAAGCAGTCGATCTAAAGCTCAAACTGAGAAAAGTCGTGAGAGGCGCGGCTTGGCGTGTGTGCAATCAATTCAATTCAATTAAAAAATGTTTATTCACGCATTACAATATACCTGTATACATAATATCAAGAGCTAATAATACCTAGAGTGTACAATGGGAAAACGGGAAAATAGTGCTATTTCACGACTACATTAT